CCCCAAAACCCCAAAACCCCAAAACCCCAAAACCCCACTTAAAATTTTCCAAATTGAATAATCAATATATAAATCAAACTTCAACATGGAATCTAAAATCTCATCCAAAAAGTAAGCTTCCCAGCTAAAATTCTTCACAAACTAAATTTCAAAATTTGTAAAAATTTTCAAAACATCTAAAATCAGGCTATTTTCTAAATTTTGTTATTTTTGATCTGTTTTTTGAACGGGATTTTGGTCAGGAAATAATGGAGATTTAGAATGGAAGAAGCTGAAGATGATACTGAGGTAGAAGGAACGGTAAGGTGGTGGGAGGGAGTGAAGTGATAGATTTTGTGTAGGAGAAGGAGGAGATAGAGAGCCAGGATGAGGTATTGGGGAAGGAAGGAGAGAGTGGTGTTAAGAGAGAGGGTGAAGGAGAGGGAGAAGATAAGGAAATAAAGCTACCTCCTCATGTCCTTGACTTGCAGAAGTAAATTTTGGCCGTATTTTGTAGTGCTAGTTCAAATCAACTTGAATCGATGCAGAGTGAAATGGACTGGTTTCGGTTTGAAAATAGAGTCAGGAAGCTTATATTTGAGACTGTTGGTAAATATTAATGTAGAATCTCTTCTAGAGCCGATTACAACAAGACTAGAAACTTTTGATCATAGAATGGGCAAATTCAAAGCAGATTTATCCATTTTTAATTCTACTCAAAAAGAGTTTAATTATACGATTAACAAACTTGGTAATAAAGTCGAGACACTGCTAGGTAAGCTCCTTTTAAACTTTGTAGAACTCCGAGCCAGAATGGATGAATTTGAGACAACCTTCAAGTAAATAAAACTTAAAATTAACACCTAAAACTAAATAGAAAAGCAGAGCAAAAGAACAAACTCAAAATTGATGATATTACACAAAAGATCGAAGGACTCAAGATGAAATTAAGTTAAATCTCTTTTATAATATCTTAGGAAATTTGGGACTTGATTTCGTAAATCTCGGTAAACTTCAAAGGAATTGTGAAGATGATATCGAAAGCAACAAAGTACGAACCGAGGCTAGTAACTTCCCTTCCTAACCCTTGTAGTTAAGGACCAGTGCTTCGCACAGATCCTTACTCTTAAGCATGAAGTGAATCAGACAGTCTTACAGGTGAAGATAGGTAAATCTTGCTGAAACCTATAGACTCTAGAACCATTCAGGAGGTTACAGCCCAGCACCAAATCATCCTTGAAAACTATAAGGAAGATATGAAGAAGCATGACATGAAAGTCGAAGAATGTGCTAACAAGACTGAAGAGGTCTCCAAATTCTTCAGCAGATTTGATGAAACCGTCTCTTATAAGGCTGAAATCAACCCAGTTATAAAAGAACTTAAAAGAAGCTTACAAAACCTGCTTGTCAGCTATAAAACCGAGAGGATTGAGAAGGAAAAGGAACAGAATTTCGACTCCAGTGAGCAAGATATCTTTGTCAACGAGGAACCAGTTTACTCAACGACCAACAGGAATATATTGGCTTATCTAAAATCTGTGTATTATCCGATCCAATTTATCACTGAAAGGGAGCAGTTAGAAAAGCTCAAGGAAGAAATTCAAAATAAAATGGATAAATTCTGAGACACCCCACTATTCTGAGAGGAGGAAGCCAAGAGGAAACTAGAAGGGGCACAAAAACGGAAATTCGTTGACAATCTGAGAGCTTTATTGAAGACTGAGATCAGAAAGGAAGACAATCAGATGTGGGATATCCTATCTAGGAAGTCAAAATAACGGTTCTGTCTCAAAGACTCAATGGAAGATGATTGGTAAATAACCTTGCCAAAAACATCAATAAGCCTGATAAAATCCATAAGACAGTCATGAAAGCGTATAAAATGGGAGTTCAAAGGACTAAGTCTAAGAGATTTAAGAACAAATCAAAAGCTTACTTAAGGGCCAACTCAAGAAAATACAAAGATAATATTGAAGAGCTTGATGTACGAAAAATAGGAAGGATGATGCCAAAATCCCCTCTTCTGGAACGGAAAAGACTTAGCTCTAAGATTATATGTAAGCTCTGACTTGTTCATAACTAATATTTTGCTTAGCACAAGGCTCTCAAGAGCAAGAAGATTCTGAGGATAAGAAAAATGACACTAAGATGGATTCGCTTTTAAGCCAAACTCAGATAGCACCGAAGCCCAATGGAGATTCTAACAGCTTTTTACGAAGTATTAACCTGTACTAAATTCTAGAAATAATAAACATCAGGAATGTAACCCAGATCAAAGAGAATCTGAAGAAGGAAAAGGAGGGTAAATTTCAGTTGAAATGTTTAGAAAAAGAGAAAGTAGACAAGCAAAGAGACAAACTTAAAGAGCAAGCTCCGCTTGTAAAGATCATTAAAGAAGAATCCAAAGCCAATGAGCAACAGAAGAAGGTCATGAGTACTCTCTATTTTAATTTTGATAGACACTCTTAAGATTGAAGAGAATAGATCACGCAAGAAATCTTTTCTAACTCGTTCAAAGATGCTATCTCCAAAGATTTTCGATGAAGAGATGAATTTAAAAATCGATCTGAAGAACAATTATAATTCAGGATCAAATATGACTAACTTGGGAAGTCCAGGTATCTTTTTTGTCCTAAATTATAGTCATAAGTAAGAGAAATCTCGGAGAAATAGAAAGATTAGACAAAGACCATCACCTGAATGCCTCATTTATGACAAGTCAGGAGGAATTAGGCTCTGAGGTAGAATCCCTACAAGAGCAATCAGAGTCTAGCTACGACTATGATGAGTCAGAAAGCGAGAAGATAAAGCTAGACGACCTTCATGAAGAGGTGACTCTCAAAATTGAAGACCTAACAAAGCAACAAGAAGGACTGACCAAGTAAGTATTTTTCTCTAAACCTTCAGAACACTTGAAGAGGTTAAGCAATCCGTCACTAAATTTGATGGGACAATGGACAAGAAGATCAAAGATTCCTTAGAATTCTTCAGGGTCTTCAAGAAGGAAATTCTTCAAAGAATGGAGCTCCTCAGCATCGATGTGAAGGATCGACTCGATCAAGAAGTCAAATACCGTAAAAGAGACATCACCGATAGTAGAATGATTGTGAATGGGCTTAAATAAAATGGTTGAGAAAGTCCAAATTGAGATAAAAGATGCAATTATTGATAATGATGATATTAGGAAGACAATGAAAGTCTTAGTCAAAGACATCCAAATCCAACATGCTATGGAGACTATTGATGAGGTTGATCGGAGATCTATAGCTCTGTATGGAGTTAACAGCACAACTAGCACTAGCGGAACCACAGGAATAAGTAGATTTAGTACTAATATTTAGAGAAAAAGGTGATATCTATTGACAAACAATGCTTGAATTGTAGTCCCCAGCCTACAACAGTAATAAAAGCTTTCAAAATGGCTTGTTTGACGTATAAATCCTCTAATGTGTTTTGGGAAGGTAAAGAATACTCCAGAGAAGAAATGGGAAGGATGAGACAATGCCTTCTAAATTACATTAACAGGGACGATAAAGATGAAATATTTAAAATGCTACCTTCTTTAGCTAAGATACCTATAAAGCAAAAAGAATCTAGGGGTATAAAGATGACTGAGACTGCTCGTAAGATTATCTCTCCCGACCCTGTTTACAAAATACCACTTGAATATAAGTAATATCAGGTGTTTTAGTTCTATAGAGCTCCTAGTACTGGTAGAAGGAATTTGGTTAAAAATACTCCAAAGATGTCAACTGCAGATAGTAAATCTCTTAATAACCCTTAGCCAAAAATCCAAAGAGATTTAAGAACAAAACTGTTGATTTGAGAAATACAAGGTTCTTGGTGAAGTCTCAGTAATTTATATTGATAACCCATAGCCGTTCCCCCAAACCAATGAATAATAAACCAAATATTACCTCTAGTCAGGTATCAGATATAATGACGATCCGGATTGATAATACAAAGAAAATAATAACCGATAAAATTTAAATTTCAATCATAAAATATTTTTTAGGGGTTTTGGGGTTTTGGGGTTTTGGGGTTTTGGGG